GTACCTCTCCATGCACAGGCCCGCAACTGTGCAGCACAGGGCGAACAGGGCGTAAAATGGGAGAAGGCCGCACAGGAGAACGTACGCCTTCACATTGCGAAGGTAGATGCCGGCATTGAGCCAGCCGCACCAGTGATCCCAGAGGGGCAAGCAACGGTTGATGGCCGAGGCGTGGTACACCCGGTTGCCCTTGAAGATCTCGCAATGGTCGCAGAACCGCCGCCGGTTGTCGCTCGTTACTTGCATGTAGCGAGGCGCGGGGGCAAAATCAACCAGAGGCTCTCGCCGAGCATGGTAGTTGCCGACGATCCATACGACGGCCCAGAGCAGGAGGGACAGCGAACTGAGGGTGGCGACCGTGACGAGGAGAGCCCAGCCGACACGTGGGTGGCAGTATGCCACTGCGAAGGCCTTCTGCTGGGGGCGCAGGCGGCGATAAGGGCCAACCAGGCCAGACGATATGCCAGGACGTAAACGCTGGCGGCGAGGAAACCAGCAATTCCCAGTGGGTACAACCACAGGGCCACATATGAGAACCAAGCCACCTGGCATTGGTATAGGAAGTTTCTGACGTGGTTCATTGTGCGAAAAGGGATTCTTGGTATGAGAAAAGGGGTCGTATAGCAGGAGAACCGTCAAAAATTGAGGAAGAGGAAGAGAAGAGGAAGCTTCGCGGAGATTGTTGAGATACTATCACAATGCAAGCGGCTAACTGGCAACATCCGCCGCCTGCATGTGCGTGACGTTATGAGAGCATTTAGAGGGGCAAGGGCAGTCGCGGCCAACAAAATCGTACGTCACAGCAGATCTCTACGGAAGGAGACAACTGCATTCAGAGTACTATAGCAATGCAGGCGCTATCTCTGAACTTGCAGACTTGTGCCAAAGGGGCCATGAGCCTTTGGGATCTGCCTGCCTCCTATCTAGAGGGCCCGAATATAGTCCAGCGCTATACGTTATTCGAACATGCGAAGTTGCTGCAGAATCACTATACGAATGCGTGCATCCTTTCTGGCCTGGCTAATGGGACGTAGAGCTGACTACCGTGCTGCAGAACTGCTGGCTCACGTGGGGCGACGGGCGCGCTTTCCGCTAAAGGTAGTGCACGGCGAACCGTTTATCTGCCCGCAAAGTTTGATGAGCTTGCATTTGTGTAGTCACATATGCACCTTCCATGATATGGTGCATATGTGCGCTGTCACCTCTTACAAGTTACTGTCCTCTCTGATAGCGGCAGGTCAAGCGGGCGTGACAAATCTTCTTGACCTGATTCCAAGCATGGCGCCTGCACAGTTTGATGAATTCTTGCATTGGCATAGTACCATATGCACCTCCCATAAGCAAAGGATTGCGCTGTCCCTTCTCTGCATCCCTTCTTGCTGTCCGCTTTGGTAGTGGCAGGCCAAGCGGGCCTGACAGATCGTTTGAACCTTGTTGCAAAGATTGTGGTTTTGAAGTCTTGCATTAGTATAATCTCATATACGCCTTCCTCAGTGTTGGTGGGAGTCCTTGTTTTGACTGCCCTCTTTGAAAGCGGCAGGTCACATTAGCCCAGGACCTCTTTCAGACCCTGTGGCAGGGATGATGCTCTTGGGCGCTTGCATTGACATAGCGACTGATGCACCTCCCATAGTACGAATGTACGCTGTCCTCTTTGATGGCGCGCTATCCTTCTGGTTGTCCTCTCAGGGAACGGGAGGCTACGTCAGCTGAAGATTGTTCTGGATCCCGAAGCACGAGCAGTGCATCTCAATGCATGCATCTTGATAGTGTTTCAGAGCTCCTTCCCCACGACCTTCAGAAGTTAGCCTGCCTCGGAATCTGACTACCCGCTTCGAGAACGGCAGTTTTTATCAGTTGCAGAACGTTTTGGGTCCCAGAGAAACGAACAGTATCTGTTGAATACATGCATTACATGGTGACCTGATGCACCTTCCCTGAACCTTTGTAAAACTAGTAGGTAATGCAGTGTTGACTGGCCTTTGTGGAGGGGCGGCTACCCCAACTGATGAATATCATGGGTCTTCGTAAAGAATGTAGTACTTTGCAAGACTTGCATCTGCATAACACTTTTCTGATATCTTGTAGGGCCTACTAAAGATCTGAAAGCTCCGTGATCTCGACTGCCCTCTATGAGAGTGGCAATGAATCCGCATATGAGAGAGCTCGTTGATTATAGAGTGACGAACAGTTCTCTTGCACGTTTGCATTCGAATAGCATGCTCGACATCTGTCTTGAGTATCTGTACATCAGATTGGTCTGGGTGTAAGATAGCGAGGCCTCGCAAACTCTCTGGAGCCGTACCGTCGGAAGATCGTTGCTCCCATCAATAGAGAAAGCCAGGAGTTAAGATGGCTCCTGCTGGGTCCGTTTGCAGCCATTAGAATGCTCATATGAAGAACGGATGCCAATCGCACGCTGCCGCTGTGGTCCGGGTACTTGACTCATTTCGGATAGAAGAGATTCACGAGTCATTTTACGATGACTCATGGAACCTCGACAAAGGGTGTGATTCATGTGATAACCGTCCAGGACTGCACAGGCCAACGGTTCTGGACAGAAGGCTACAGAATCCACCCACCCACGTTACGTCATGAAATAAACATCACAGTGACTTTTCGACGATGTCTCTGCTCGCTTGTCGACAGAATGCTGTCTGTCTCAACAGTTTGAGTAGGTGGCCCACAAGCCTGATACCAGACACCTTTTCCCTTTGCAACTCAACACCATCCCTCGTTACATCGAACTTGTCACAATGGTCAACCTCGCTATCGTCGGGGCCTCTGGAAAAATCGGCGGAGCGACACTTCGTTCTCTACTCTCCGAACATCTTATCCCAGCCTCCGAGATCATCTGCACGACCTCCGCTCAGCCCTCCGACCCCAAATGGGAATCACTGTCTAAGCAGGGGTGCAAGTCCGCCACGCGACCTTTGACGACCCGTCGTCGTTTGAGAAAGCGCTCGCCGACTGCGTGAAACTCTACCTGGTTTCCTCCCCTCGCATCGCCATGGATTTCGACAACGCTCCTCACGGCCAGGGAAGAGAAAAGGACCACTTTGTCGCCATCGATGCGGCGAAGAAGGCTGGTGTCAAGCACATCTACTACACGTCGTTGGCGTTCCAGAATCCATCTAAGAGCGGGGTGATGACGGCACATGAGCGGACGGAGGAGTACTTGGCGAAAGTGTGTCAGCAAAGTGATATGCGATACACTATCATACGCGAGGGGCTGTACAACGAATCGTGGCCGCTGTACTTCGGACACTACGATGTCAAGAGTGATGAGCGCGATGAGGTCCCTGTGGGTGGTGATAGCCCGATCAGCTGGACTGGCATTGCGGATCTGGGACTGGCGAACGCGCTCGTGATTGCGAGTCCCAAGACGGATTATGCGGGTAAGACGTTCTACTTGTCGAACACGAAGGACCCCAAGAGCTTGAAGGATATCGCGAAGATGGTGTCTGAGGCGAGGGGCAAGGAGACCAAACTGAAGGTGGTATCAAGGGAAGAGCACGAGGACTACTATGTCAATGAGAGGAAGATGCCGGAGCCTATGATCAAGTGGTGGGCGAAGACCTACGATGCGCTGAGAGATGGGGAGTGCATGATCAAGGATACCACATTTGAGGAATTGCTATCCAGCAGGGGTAGGACGCCCAAGCCCGTAGAGCAAACAGTCAAGGAAATGATCGGCGGGGCTTAGAAGCTCATCGCTGTGTGACGTTAATCGTCTACCTCTCCGAGCATGCGTCCCACATCTCAATCGTCAGGCTCGTGCTCACGCACCAGGCGTCCAGTCGTAGACCAACTTGACCCTGTGCTCCTCCTTCCCCTTCTTCGCATACACATGTCTGACATACCTGCGCTTCCCTTCCACAATTTCGAATCCCCAGATCTGGTCCGCCGTCCAATTAGGGTCCTTGTCTCTGCTCTCCACATACGACTGTATCAGCAGGCCGTCATCATTCCGCACCGATTTGTCGTCCCAGCCATTGCGTAGAAAGTTCTCAGGGATATCGTCGGATTTGACGAAGCGCGTGCGGCCCTTGACTTTGCCGAAGACACGGTCGTCCTTGTCCCGATCCGTCCAGTCGAGAGTTCGCTCTTCGAGGCTTTTGATGCCGCCTGTAGAATTTGTAAATCGGCCGAGAAGGGTGGTGGATTAGATAGGTGGGAAGGATGGGACGGTCAAGTACGTACCGGTCAGGGCTTGTTCGATATCAATGTGCACGTTGCCGGCATCATCGGTGTACTCTTTCACGTGCAGCACAATAGTCGAGTAATAGATTGCGTTGCGGATGAACCAGCTCACGCCTTGCTGCGTTGGTCAGCCGCTGTGTTGTCCGGAGGCGCAGAGGAATTCTCACCATCTTCAGGATCGGATCCGTGTCATCGGAGATTTTCTTGTTCTGTGCGGTGCCGATCAGTAGCTGTGAAGGATATATCTCCCGCAAGGACGATAGCACACTCGCGACGATGAAGACGCTCTGAAGACGAGTGTAATGAGCTCGCGGGTCGGTATTGTGCTGAGGTTGAGAGAGAGAATGGAACGAAGCCTACCAGCGTGTAAGTTCCCTCAAGATGATGCAGAGAGACCGAATCTGGGACCGCCATGGTGTTGTGGAAAGAAGCCGAAGTGAGCTCAGGCAATGTATGTGGGAGGAGAGATAGGTATGGCGAGGTTGTGAACTTAGTGTAGCAGATTTCTTGATACGTATACTGCGTCCTAGAGAGAAAGGCACGAAGTTGCTATGGAATGGAGAGTGTGGATTCGAGAGACAAAGCAAGCGAGTTACGCGACAAAAAAGACTATGAGCTCTTGCTTGAATCAGCTCAGATGGAAGTGTGATTGGGTTAAGTAGATGCTTCAAGCCTTGGCAATATGCGTGTCTGCGGATAGCTCCACTCTTGGCGGGTTAGGTATGGATGGACCCGTCAAGGAACCGGATGAAAGGTTCTGATCATGTTTTTTGATAAGATAAGTCTATGAAACAGCGGGCGTGGTAGCAAAGTGGTTACTGCGATTGACTAGAAACCGTCAACCCATTGACGGTAGAAATCAATTCCCTTCGGGGGCGTAGGTTCGAATCCTGCCCACGTCGTACTTGACTTGCTCGCAGAGTGGTCTCTTCATTTTTAAATTTTGGGCTACTCATTCCGTATTCACCTACCGTGGTTGCCCAGCTCAGTAGCTAGGGTAGCCGGGATAGTCGGGGACGTAGATTCGAATTCTGCCAATGTCGAACGTATTCTTTGTATCTTTTGCCCTTCACTCAAGGGTGATGCCTGCTACCTAAGACGGGCTCATCTTTTCTCGATGGTACCGAACCATATCACGTAACTAAGGAAGCTTGACATGAAAGAGGATCCAGGCCCATTGTTTAATTACGCCGAGATCTCAACAGTCAGAACAAATCTCCGATGACTTCCTCGGCGGTTCGTGTTAGCACGCAATGCTTTATAACATATAGCGGAAGTAAGGATTCTCCTTGTCCGTCAAATCGAGAAAGGCCAATCTATCCTTTTCCTCTTGATCGACGTAGCCCTCCTGCGCACGATCTCTGCGCTTGTTCTCCCAGCGCAGGACGCAATACAGGGCCACTGCGCAGACAAACGTAAGCGCGTAGCTGTAGTAATCTCAGTCAATGGCACTGTGATGAAAAGGACAACGTCGGCAGCAACACAAACGTACCAGAAGATAATTCCGCCATACATCAGTGGATAGTGTTGAGCGCGCGTCTGAGATTTGAGTAGTTGGGGGCTGATGATGTTACCGAGACAGTATCCGACGAATATCATGCTAGACATGATGGTCTTCTTGGTGGCACCTGCCACGTTTTGCATGCCTAAGAACTCGTCAATGAACGTGTCAAGCGATCGAAAGGTTGAGAAATTTACCGATGGCGATAGCGAGTGTGACAACAGGGCCAAACAAGCCAAGGATAGAGTAGCCTACCATAGGGACTGCGCGACTGGTCCAGCTGCTCTTCCAGATCATCAAGCAGCCAGCAATGACCGGGAGACTGAACAATGCGACTTGGATCAAAGCCACGTTCTTCTTCTTGTTGCAGATGTACCCTGTGACCAAAATACTGATCACGCAGATGGCTGACTCGGGGAATTGCAGAAGTATGCTCTGGAACGTGGTAAAGCCGAATGTGCTGACGATCAACGGGCCAAGGCTGGTAATTCCACCGTTGACAGTGTAACCAGCTGTCAGAATAACGAACACGAGCCAGGACTTGACGTCGAACAGAGTCTCCATGACCTGCTTCGGCTTGAGCGTCTGACAACGCATGCCGGTCTGGCGATCACGAAGGCGCTCGACGGCCACGATGCGTTCTTCCTCAGTCAAGAACCAAGCTGTGGCTGGCGAGTTTGGGAGGAGGAAGCACATGCCACCATAGACCATGGTTATGACACCAAAGACGATGTACAGGATCTGCCAGCTCTTGAGCGCGGCACCGTCGACGTGAGCGAATCCCCAGGAGATGAGTCCGCCGATAACGCCCCAGCAGCCTGTCGCGCTGTACCACCAGCACTGTCGCATGATTTGCTCCTCCTGACGGTAGAAGCAGCTGATTATGACGGAGAAGCCGGATGGGATGATGGATTCCATGAAGCCAAGGAAGAATCGTTGAACGTAGAGGCCTTTATAGGTTGTCACAGCGGCAGTACAGGCGCAAATACCACCCCATAAGACGACAACCGGTCCAAGCACTCTTGCCATCTGGAACCGCTGGAACAAGGTTGTCAGGGGAACGATGCCTGCGATCAGGCCGAAATAAAAGATGGCAGATGCCCAAGAGAGTCGCGAGGTATCGGTCGTTGGTGGATGCGTATGCGTGTCTACGACGGCAAGCTTGAGATCCTTGTTCATGCCAAAAAGCGCAGCGCTTCCCAGAATCGCTTTGTCGTAGAACACCAAACCAAAACCGAACCACATCCTGGCTCCACTTCAGTAACGTGTCTTTGCAAGTGTAGGAGGGTCAGACTTACCATGGGATAAGGATGAGGTCGAGCTTACGCACAACCCTCTTTTCCACCTCCGGGTCTATCTCTCGGCGGTGATCACCAACGATGGCCGTAGCGATATCCGCGCCTTTCACCTCGCCAACCTTTTCGGCATCGTAAGCGTGGATTTGCTCGTCAATGCTAAGCTTTGGGATACCCTCCTTATGTTCGGTATCGAACTTGTGCATAATGAATGACCGTGCTTGATGTTGCAAAGTATGTCAAAATCCACGACGGAGATCAACACTAACGCAAGTTACAAAACGATAGCTGTCCAGTTTGAGGTGGAACAGGAACTTTAGCTGACCTACTCTACTTCAATCGCTCTCCAGGACAGTGCTTACTCCGCAACTTCCCCACGATCTTCCCCGCAGCATTCGACCCCATGACGCGGGGATTATGTCTGTACTCTTCATTGTTCCTGTATGTAGCGAGCGAAGCTAAGAGAAGCTAGCACATAAGAGGAAGCTAGGCCATGTGAACTTTTGGCAGGGATTGTGAAGGTTCAAGTGGCAAGAGCGTAACCAATGGCCAGTTGCTGCGTAGCTCGTCGGGACGCACTGATCCGACTAAGGCGTCCAAGTACAGGGGGCGGAGTTAGCTTGCCTGGCGTAGCGATGTCCTACATCTAGAACGAGCAGCTGTTTAACTCAAACTTCATAGGAACTCTCCTTCACGCGCCACCGTCCCTATTGAATCTGCCGCAGATATCAAGCAAAGACAAGAACAATTGTGACTGCTCAATCCCGTCTGATTCGTTGAATTTCGTGTCACAAAGCATCGGGGGTGCCCGTGCTCGAATGCGCCAAGGTTGACACTCCCGCTCCGAGAGCTGGTTCTCCAACCCCGCAGCAAACTCCAGCATGCCGTTCGAACATTTTGCCGCTACAGGGGTTGATTGAGAAGCATCGGGTCCAGGATGGAGATGTCAGACTAGCCGTCACTACCGAAGCCATCCGTCTGAAGCTTCCTCGGATCCACTTGTACTGCCTGGCCAGCTCTTGGCGGGGCTTGGCAGGGCAACCGATGAACCGCGGCTTCATAGCGGGGGTCTCTCTGACTTGCGGTCAATCTCAAAGTCCTGCAACTCCACCTAGTCGACTTGACAAGACGCGCTGAACCTGTCTCATGAAGACGGTACTTCGTACTATAGTTCCTGACATCGAGTGTGCACGTAATACCATGTCTACTTTTTGCCGCCACCAGTTAGTATCTAGGGGTTAGCGATTACCAACGGCTATAGTACTGGATTTGCAGAGACGCCTACTCGTGTGTAACGTCTTCCCCTTTTCGTTCAGCTGAGCTTGTTGAAAAAGATTGACAGTATGTGTGGGGTAGCGAGGTACTTCCTTCGGTATATCCACTCCCATCCGTAAGAACTCAATATTGGCTACGTTACGAATTACCTCATCAGTTTGGTTTTCCTTCCTTCTCTAAGCATCAGTTCGGGCTGAGTACCTCGTCTCTGCCCCTACATTGTTAAGCACTAGGCCCGCCATCGTTATGTTCTTCGACAGAAGGAGTCCTGGGTCTCTTACTTGGGGGTTAACAACAAATGATCACTCTTTCTGGCAACTCCCGTTTATCCGACTCGTTATTAGTGGACATTCCATGGTTATGATCTTCTTTGTCGATCATGGTTTCTCCCTGTCTTTCAAACCAATCAAACTGATCCGCACCGGCCAATACGATCAAGTACTCCATACAATAGCATCCTCGACCTTCAGACGTTGGTTCCGACTTTTCTCCCCTGTCATAGGAACTAACGTTCTTGACATGTTAGGCGTTTATTGGGCTTCTTCGGCCGCGCGAGAGTGATGTACGACCCGAATCCTTATCATATTCCTGGCCACATTTGGATTGGACGGAGACGATTGCCGACTCTCTATGCCTAATCTGCAGACTTATTGAAAGATCTCGCAAATTACCTCTACCTCTTCAGTTTTAACGGGATCAAAACGCAATACAACCTCTTCTTCTAGACTATTATTAGAGAATTTCGCAGTTCTCTCGTCGTCTTCATTACTCTTATCGGCCTCGCCCGCGTCAAAGCTTGGATTCGTATGACCTCCATCACCTTACTATGTTTCTACTGCGTGCTGTATCGCCAATGGTACTTCTACCTGTTCCTATCGGCGCTCTCCTCGCCGAACTTTTCGTCATACAAACCAAATCCCTTTCATGAGCGTCGGTTGACTCGCTCCCCCATTCAAATACCGCCTTGTCGACGTCTGACCTCACATCTTGCCACCGCTACTTAATTACATAGCAATCGGAGCCTTCAACTTCGCCCTCTGGTTCCTTAGCGCGCCTACGAACGGGTACGAGGAAGTCGCTTCCTCCCGCTTCGTCCTCAATCTTACCCCACAATTCATCAGCAGGCACGACTATACAGTCTTCCCAAGCTTCGGCGCTCCCTTGCTCGTCTGGTCCGTTTCGCGCCTTCCCATGCTCCAAAAAGCTTTCAACAATCCTATCGCCCTATATCTAGGAGATATCTCGTACGCACTGTATTGTGTGCATGGGCCGCTGATATCAACATCTTCATATCTCATCCAACCTGGCCTTTGGACTGTGGTGGGCTGGGATGGTACGACAAGCTATGAGAGTTCAGTGCACCATCAGACCTGTTTTTGGATCGGTATAGCGATCCAAACTGTCCTTGTGGTTTGTGCAGCTGACCTCATGTGGAGGTGGATGGACGTCAAATCGGTCGATTTTGCACGATGGCTAGAGAGCAAATGTCTCGCCGGGTTTGGCGAGGAACGGAGAGGCAAGGACACGAGGACGTCCTAGTAGTCAATAATTCACAATATGCTAGTTAAAAGGGTATAGTATACTTCGAATCCTATTAAAGAAGTCCTTTGACTTTATGTGCTAGAGCACGTTCGCATGCATAAACTTATGCGTATACTAGAGTTCTCTGATTGTGAATGCTTCGAAGAACAAGTCTCACATGTAAGCAAACCCTTTCATTTCCGTAACAGTCGCCTGATACATGCTCTACACTGTCACTGTTACTCAGATCAGGGAGTGGCCTGTAGCTAGGATATTTGCCAATATCGACTAACCCCGCACGATTTCATGA